CACAATATTTTTAAAGAATTTAAACAAGGCCTGTGCACATGCCATTTTTTTTTGCATTAAAGGAAGCGAAATAACTTCGGGTATTAGCAAGATTTGACTTTCAGTAGATTGCAAGTGAGAACCGGAAAAATATGTTACGTTTTAATATTTACTATGCTTAGAGCATATAAGCTATCGTAGCAAGCTTTTAAACCTAAAAAAAAAATGACGAATCGATGTCAGGGTATTATGTTCATTTAGCCTTGAATTGCAGCTCCGCGGCAGTGCGGGCTTCACGTGGAAATGCTTTCATGGCTCAGCAGCCCTTCACTGCAGTAAAACCACCTTTACAAGAGGGTTACATGCGGACTAATGTACCACTATTCGTTCATTTCGAATACCTCAAAATAATTGCGGATAATTTGAATCTGAATCGAAGCAAATTCGAATACAGTAATATTCGTATGAATATTCAAAGCGTTCGAATATTCGCGTATGCCTAATTTTCATTATACATTGACCGAGGTTCGCCTTCCACAAATATGTGTTGTTGACCATCTATTTAAACAATTGGGGCTGGCATTTTTTTTCTCTGTCTTTTTTTTAAATATATTGCATGCCTTTCTTTCAAGCCCATGGACGTCAAGCCTCATCCATTCAACAGCCATCAGTGGAACCCCCTACCGCAGGATTAACTTCCCGATACATTCGCTTGTTGATGATTAGTATACCAAATGACTTAAGAGGTGTTATGACAGATAATCTCCTCCTCTTAACCGGAACACATTTTACCGATCTTTTGAAGTTCCCATTAACTAGATTCTCTTGCACGGTAGACTTTCGTTATAGGAGAAGAACTTTGTTTTTATTGAGAAAGTGTAATCATTTGAACGGCACTGATGGTTGCTGGCAGTGCTGCTCTTTGGGTAGAGGCTGGTTCGTCTCTTGGTAAACCGATATTTTCATTATGAACTGAAGTTGCTCAGCTTATCAGGATGTTCCACTAGGTGTGTTCATAAAGTGATCACTGACACCAGCCTGGACTGTTGTGTGTGCGAAGTTCCATATTTGTGACTGACTCCTCTGAAAGCTGCAAGCTTTGTGATTGGGCAATTTGTTGCAGCAAGTCACGGCAATGACAGTGCACACACACGCAAAAAAAAAAAAAAGAACGAAGCCAGGTAAAAGGAGGAGAGGTAGATGTGTAGTGATACGTGCATTTACCGCCTCGTCTTTTTGTTCTCAATTTTCACGCTGTGCCTCGGCAAGATGTTGCTTCATAGTAGCACTGCACGAGCACTTGGTTTTCTACATGTGCTGCGACGATTTGCTTGCCTAACATATTTGAAGCCTTTTTTGCAGCCTTATCTGCCTCATTTGTTGCCGGTAGCTGATATAAGACAGAAAAAAGAAAGTTTGTCTTCATTTACAACATGACATGTTAGAATACTTTGGAGAGAACCGTAGCTTCATTGAAAACCTGTTCATTTTTTACCAGGAAAAAGAAATCTTGAGATGCATAGAAGTGCAGGGTGGTTGATGCAGTGTGGTCAAAGATAATATGGGAAAGATGAAGTGACAAAACAGTACAAATGCTAATTTCCAATTCTTAGATGTATTTAATTGTAAACCTTCTCTCATCTTCAATCAAAATGTAACTGCAAAGTACCAATATATTTTAGAAAGAAAAATTAAATGCACATGGGTGGTTCAGCGTAGTATCTCTATGGATGTGATAGTTGCCAATTAGGCTTCTTTCTATCACGGGTTATTAAAGAAATGCCTTCATTAAGCGGACTGTAGTGGCCCTTGAATTTTGCAAGGGCAGTACCTCAGCGATGTTATGTATGCATTAGCTGATTTTCTGACATGATGTGCTTGAACGTAGATCACTTTAGCCTGCATAGCACTACACTACACAAGAAAAGTACACATACGACAGCGCTGTGCTGTGTGTCCCGTTGATAAATTGTGCTATGCGGTGTACAGTGACGCTTCAAGCTTTGCATGCTCGTTTGTGTAGTGGTATCACTTGTTGACCTGCCAGCGCCTGTTCTGCTCCTGCTCTTTGAAACAGATGTGCGTTTGCGTTGGCGTCACATGCAGATATTTGCGTGTACCATGACATTGTGATTGTGGCTTACACTGGCAGTGTAATCATGTCGAATAGCGTTTGTACGATCGACTGTTTTCCTTCTTTTTGTGGTGGTGGTATTGGTGATGGTGTGCAGTTTTACCTGAGCTGAACGGCTCGTGTTTTTGCGGCCGTCCCAGCACAACGTGTGCAGTTGTGTTTTTCAGCTTTGTGGGGATCGTTTTCGTAGTATTGTTTTTGTCTTACGCGAGTGTTTTTCACTTTGTCATCCATCACGGCACGTCATCGCGGCTGCCGAGTGCTGGCATTCGGCGCGTTTGTCGGTTATTTTGTTTTATTTCACCGAGCTCTCCAAAGAAGGTGCGCTGGCGCGCTTTCAACATTTGTCCTCTCATGCACGCCCAACTCCATTCATGTGTTTGTACGCAAAGCTACTCTTGTTCCTCGAGCGCACATCCATGATTGTGTGTAATGAGTGTTTTATGAACTTTTAAAGCGACTTGAAGATTAATGTAGGGAACGCAGTACAAATAAGAAATTGTTTGTGAAATAGGAACTAGATCACTGCGAAGCTGAGCATTTACACTCGTCATAAACCTATAGACAGCTGTTCCGTCATGCCTTGTTTTTGAAATCGACTAAGACGTTTGGCAGCTGTGGTTGTTTTAAAAGAAAATGGCAGTGTTTAAAGAAAATTATTTTCGATATCTATATTTTTCATTGTCTTATAGAAGACTGACAACCTAAGACTAAATGTAAGCTCTGCCTACAGACATTGCAGTCTCCCACATTGAGAAAATTCACATAGGCTTCCCATCCAAATACATTTGCTCATTTATGTGATATTTTAGGTATATGAATTTCTTACGAGATACATTTTTGTACATAGCTAGTTTTCAGTAGAAAAGCTTTACTTCTTAGCCAGTGTCGGCAAAGATTCCGACATCACTGCTTGCGGAAACACAATACTGTAAGAAAAGATGAAAAGCTTTGAACAAATAAAATGCATGTTATTTACATTAGATGCAAAAAAGTACCTAGCATGACTCACTTGGACAGATGAATGGCAAGTATGCCTCAATTTTTTTTTGGGGGGGGGGATTTATTTATTCTTTGGTTGTAACTGACATATTTGGGCAAGTGGAGCTTATAATTATGTATGTACACAAAGAGAAACAAAAACTGTTTCATTTGAACTGCAGCTGTGTATCTTTCACTTTACGTGATACAAAAATTTTTAAACCTACCGTATTTACCCAGGTCTGATGTATTATGTTTTATGGGCTCCAAGTTAACAAATCGTGTGTGCCACCAATTTAACGCATGCCTGATTCACATAAACGGAACATAGCGTGCTCAATTTGTATAATCATTGGGAGGAACAAAAAAAAAAAAAAGACTAGATAGTACAAGCAGTGTGTCATCATTACTGTTCCCAAAGCAGGCAGCCCACAGTGATAACACTAGATTTGATCGGCTGTCAGCTAAAGCCTTCATAGTTTTTTTCATCAGCAAAAAGTTCAGTATGCTGTGTTTCAAGGTAGCCAGAGACCTAGCATGCCAAGCTTTAAGAAGTTCCGTTAAGTCATTGCAGCTAAAGTACGAAAAAGACATTGAGATACGTTGTATTACTAACACTCACACTCGGGTGTTGGAATTGAGGCTTGGAATTCAATATTGAAACTTTGGTACAAGTTTCTCTTTTAATTATCAGCTTATGTTTATGAAATAAATTACATCAGATTTCTGAAAGAATAATTTCTTAGTATAAGCCTATGAAGTGTGTCACTTTAGTGTCTCTTAGATGTAAATTGTTCTGACTAGCAACTAAAAACGTCCCTTCTACTTCGATTAGTGATATGCAAGCTAAGAAATGAGCTAAGCAGATTTGCGATGTACTGACCAATACCTAGTAGGATAAAAAGGGCTTTGGCAAAGTGGGCACAAAACCCACGAGTTACAGAAACAAAAAAAAAGGAGTAAACATTCAGGCTGTGTTTCATTATTGGTAAAGTTTACTGCTACTATGAAAAATAAATGCAATCAGACAGCGCCATGAAACGTCAAGTCGGGGCATTTCCATAGAATGACAATGGCAGAAAAAGAAACAGTTGTGCACTGTTATTGCAAATTTAGTCAGTGGCACATTCGTGTGGTCTTCACCGAAGGTTCGTGCAATGGTCTGAATGTTTAGCTATGCAACTAATATTGGTTGCGACAATTAACGTGTTCAACGGTTGGAAGAGTGCTGCTAATGTTGATTGTGTGATACGGTTTCGGAATCTTGTGCGTCCATCAGTCGGCTTTGTCAGCTCGGTCTGAAGACCACTTGAATGTGCCGTGAGGGAATTTATTGGTAGAATTTGTGAGTGTTTTCTTTTTGTACTATTCGTTGACCTTCGGGAACTGATTTCATGTACCTAAGGCAAAGTTATGTTTGCGTTCCTAGACTCTTTGCGTAATTTTTCATGCAGTGTTAACACCAGTTTGTTTTAATTCTTATATTGCTAGCTCCATGTGAGTACTTAAGTACTGCATTGTCAATTTTTCACGCATGTTAAAAATTTTCTCATTACAATGGAGTGCAACAAATATAATTATTTTTGTCTCACTTACACTCTTTCATGGGCAGGACAAGAGTAGGTTGTTGCAATTTTGCTCATTTTTTGAAACAGTTATTCCCAAAATGAATGCTTGTGACGAAAAGAAGGACTGTGTGGAGGTTGTACTAAGATGTTGGCATTGTTGGTACTACTCTTTTAGTGTACCAGCAGAATCGAGTGAGCCAGTGTTGGCATTTGAATAAAGTTCTTCATTTGAAAGTGGTATTGGATGGTTCTTTTTGTGGCTGGTGAAACACGCCTCGATCCCAAACGCAGTGAATGACTCACTAGCTGCAAAAACGTGAAAGCAGGTGTGGACAAGCTACGGAGAATGACGTTTATTGTAGCCTTCGAAGGGTCGCTGCCAAAATATTTATCTTAAGTTAAATGTACGACGAGAAGTTCGACTGAGCAAGATTTCACACTGGAGTACAAACAGCACACTGAAAAAAAAAAAAGTACGTCACGACACCACATGTCCTTCCTGGCACTTGTAGCAGGCAGACTAGAAGGTCACGCAGCACTCGGCTGCCTCTGAAAGTCCAGTCTTTCCTCTTTTTTTTTTTTTGCATAGACTTTTTTTCATCATCGTTGGTCTGTCGTTGGCAGTGTAGCGTATGTATTCTGACTGAGCAAGATGCGTAGTACCTTCTTCGCAGATGGAACGAGTCCAAGGCATGCGCGCGAGGGGGGTCAGGAGGGCGCTCTGTGATAGAAGTTTCCTTTCCTTGATGGGGAACGCTGCACACGCCTATGGAACCAGTAACGTATCACAACCAAAAAGTGGTTTAAGCAGTATCTTGGGCACAAATGCAGCGTGGCTTAGTTTTTCTCTGCCTTAAATGACTAAAGCCGCACACGAAAACACGCACAAATTGAAGAAGGCTGATGGGGGAGCACGTCGAAGGCACCGGATTGGTCCCTAGGAAGGTAACTTTGCGCTCTCAGACGCCAGCCGTCGAAGACGGCTCGGCGGCGAGCAGTTCGAGCAAGGTGGCCGACGCGCGGCAGCACTGCACGCAGGGCTGTTGATGCTCGTTCAGGGCGAGCTTCTGTTCCAGCTCGACCAGCTGTCCCATGAAGTTGAGGTTGGGCGAGATGATGGGTCGCTTGGCCTTGAGGTAGCGGTACGCGTCCACCAGGGGCAGTCGCAGGTGGTGCATCAGGTAGGCCACGGTGATCGTCGGAGATCGCGACACGCCCGCGTGGCAGTGCACCAGCACGCGGCTACCGCTCGCATGCGCCTCGTCTGCGGGAGAGAACGGCAAGAGATTCAGTTTACATGCCCACACCCACTCATTTTTATTTTGTGGACCAGAGGCATTACACAGGGCAAATGGTGAAAGCATACACACACAAAAAGAGAAAAACAAACAAAAAAGTAAGTACAATAGAGCCGTACAGAACTTTAGAAGGAATCTGAGTTTGCAGCAGAAATTCTCGTAAACATTAATGTTCATAACGTCCGCGGGTAAATTACTGCGACGTGGCTGAATATCATTGATAAAAGTTGACCGTACATCAAGCAAACTTGATAAAGTGCGTGCATATTCATCTGTGGCGACGACCGCGTAGAGTAATAAAGAGGCATTATGCGACGCTTATGCTGCGCTGAGGCAAGTATGAGAAGGAAGTTCAGAATTCATGGAATATATCTGGTTATACTGTAGGCACACTGTAGGGGCCTGCAGAAGAAACCAAAAGCTCGAACTGAAAACAGTGAAAACTATTCTAGGCGATATCGAAACCAAAACACAATTTTGAAGAGCGCTGCTATCGCGCGCGCCTGCCCACGTGACTGCGGCGCATGCGCGTACGAGGGCTCAATTTGCCCTTGCCCACTGGACCCCTTTCGCGGTTTCGCGCCGAAGTTTTCAAAAACACGGCGGTAATAATTAGGAGAAATAGTGTGACCAGCTGGACACAAGTGGCTGTTCTGTTATCGAAGGTGATGCGCACCATCTTACAATGCAAGTCCTGGCAATTACGCAAAGTAAGTAGCTCGGATTGACGAGTTTCACTAGAGAAATACCTGCACCAACTGCGGCCGGTACTTCACTCTTGCTCGGCAAGTGGTCAGAGCCGATGAATGAACAACCACTTTATCGACAGGACGAGCGAGCCGTAAGCGACGCATGATAAGCCCTGTTTGCGACGTTCGTGCAACGCCACCGTGCTTATCATCGTTCGCGTAGCAGCACCGTCGATAGCAACGCGACCATGAAATGACGCGCTAACGGAACGAGGTTCCTCTCGTCGATACTTTCTTTCGCTCTTTATTTCGTGATTCGCGTTTACCGACTCGCCTGTCAGATCTCACTGTCGTAAATCTTAGCTGTTAACTCTATGGCTACCCCCCACTGCCCTCACCATTTTTCTTATTTTTCTTTTTAGTTCGCTTGGCCCGGGCCTGCTGGACACTCGCGATACATAGGCGCTGCATGCCATTGATGCGGAATCGTTAAAATATAGACTAGCGAACAGTAAAGCAAATTAATTAGCGGCGCTAATGGTATGGTGCTGTCGTCGCGAGGTTTGACAGTTTTAGAATAGGAGGCGGGATATCACATATGATAGTGGAGACAAACATTAACGTAAAGCTTCGCCTACCCTGTTCAGAAACTGCTTACTATTGATCGATGCAAACTTTCAGAGGGGCCGGCAGACCGTTGTTCTCGTTGGCCCGACATATGGGCTATTCAGCGTAAGGATAAGTTAATCTAAGAGTTTTCGGTGGATAACCGTGTCCAAGGCTTTCGAAAGTGATTGAAATCGCCATCCGGAAAACCTAAACTATCCAGTCAGCTGAGCGTATGCTGCGCATAGGACATTTTTATACATTCAAGAAAATTAATTGAAGCAGTGATAGATCGTGCTGCGCTAAGGTTACACGGACACAACAAGAAAGCGCGACAGACGAGACGGCATAAAACGATTGGTGCGAAGTTTCCATTAAAGGGAAACTGGGAGGGGGAGGGGGCAGGGCTGGGTTGGCGCATTCTTTTGTTTGTCGGTCGCGACGATGAGGAGTTTGCCTATTGCGGAAGAAACCGGACGCGCCTGGCAATGTTTGCGTCGTGCGAAAGTGCTGTCGACGGTTTCCGGTTGCAGCGCGCGTTGTGTGTTCACCTGAAAGTGGCGATGTTCTTCCGACACGAGCCTGTATAGCGGGAAATCCCCCGGTACGGGAGGGGGGGGGGGGGGGGGGGATGTTCGCGGAATTTCACTTGGCCACGCCGGTGGCAAACACAATGCGAAGCAGGTCGATTATTACACCTGGTGTGATATTACTGCTCCGAATGAAACTCTTGAGAAAAAGCGCGAAGCCGGTCACTCATGAAGCTGCAGCAAGTCGGCTCAAAGATTCATTCTTGCTGCTAGAAAAGTTTGTCGTGCACCAACAACGAGCCGCTGAATCGCATGCGTATAGCTGAGGAAGTTTTGTTATTAGACTTACAAGACACACAAAAAGTAGATGCTTGACGTTCTTGATTTAAAAAAAATACCAATAAAGAAATAAAAAAAAAACGGGGAGGATGATAACACTAACGAGTTCACAATGCTGGTTGCACTTCGCGAAACGTGCAACACACGCACGCAAAAAAAAAACAACAAAAACAAGAAGATCCGTCTGAAAAGGCTGGCCCAAAGCGCAGTCGCCAAACTCTGTCCTGAAATCGTGCAATTGTTTTATTTATGTATTATTATTTTATTTCTTTATTATAATTTTTTTATGCGTACCGTCCCATTTCGTGGTCGCGTTGATCAGGAAACGGTTGAAAACTCTGGCTGCAGTTGTCAGCACAGAAAGAATGACGTGTCCCACTCGCTATACTTCCACGAAATGTCGCTAACGATGACTATAGTCCTCCGATCGCTATTAATTATACGGATTCGGTGACGTGGCGCATATGTATGATAAATCGGGTTCCTTTCTCTGCGGCAACTTGTTCCGCTCACTCTAGCACAGACTATCGCGCATAATAGCAGCATTCTCAAGTTGTTCGCAGTTTCTCGAATAACTGTTGATTGATTGATATGTAGGGTTTAACGTCCCAAAACCACCATATGATTATGAGAGACGCCGTAGTGGAGGACTCCGGAATTTTGACCACCTGTGGTTCTTTAACGTGCACCCAAATCTGAGCACACGGGCCTACAACATTTCCGCCTCCATCGGAATGCAGCCGCCGCAGCCGGGATTCGAACCCGCGACTTGCGGGTCAGCAGCCGAGTCTCGAATAATGTGAGGCTTGCGGCGAAGCGGTTCGCCGTCGTCTACTCTTCTCGAACCGGAAGCCGGCAACAGACGGTGCATCCCACAATCCCTCGCTCTTTTACTGGTCACCTATTCTATTGCGACCCCCCCCCCCCCCGCTTTCACTATTTTTCTTATTTTTCTTTTCAATTCGCTTGGCCCGGGCCTGCTGCAACACGCGATACATAAGCGCTGCATGTCATTGATGCGGAATTGTTAAAATATAGACTAGCAAACAGTAAAGCAAATTAATTAGCGGCACTAATGGTATGGTGCTGTCATCGCGAGGTTTGACAGTTTTAGAATAGGAGGCGGGATATCACATATGACAGTGGAGCCAAACATTAACGCAAAGCTTCGCCTGCCCTGTTCTGAAACTGCTTACTATTGATCGGTGTAAACTTTCAGAGGGGTCGGCAGTCCGTTGTTTTAGTTGGCCCGACATATGGGTTATTCAGTATAAGGATAAGTTAATCTAAAAGTTTTGCGGTGGATAACCGTGTCCAAGGCTTTCGAAAGTGATTAAAAGCGCCAACCGGAAAAAAAAACCTAAACTATCCAGTCAGCTGAGCGTATGCTGCGCATAGGACATTGTTATACATTCAAGAAAATTAATCGAAGCAGTGATAGATCGTGCTGTGCGAAGATTACACGGACACAACAGGGGCGGCGCCAGGATGTTTTTACTGGGGGGGGGGCAACCACGAAAAGTGAGTTCCTCCGGGGGGGGGGGGGGGGGGGGGGGCAAGCTAGCTCTGCTCCTACTAGGTTTTCAATATATGCTTCCGGGCACTTGGGTGGGCATAGGGGGGGCAGGCGAGAATTTTGGGGGGGCTACAGCCCCCCCTTGCCCCCCCCCCTGGCGCCGCCCCTGGGACACAACAAGAAAGCGCGACAGACGAGGCGGCATGAAACGATTGGTGCGAAGTTTCCATTAAAGGGAAACTGGGAGGGGGAGGGGGGGGGGCTGGGTCGGCGCATTCTTTTGTTTGCCGGTCGCGACGATGAGGAGTTTGCGTATCGCGGAAGAAACCGGACGCGCCTGGCAATGTTTGCGAAGTGCTGTCGACGGTTTCCGGTTGCAGCGCGCGCGCTGTGTGTTCATCTGAAAGTGGCGATGTTCTTCCGACGCGAGCCTGTATAGCGGGAAATCCCCCGGTACGGTGGAGGGGCGATTTTCGCGGAATTTCACTTGGCCAGGCCGGTGGCAAACACAATGCGAAGCAGGTCGATTACTACTCCTGGTGTGATATGACTGCTCCGAATGAAACTCTTGAGAAAAAGCGCGAAGCCGGTCACTCATGAAGTTGCAACAAGTCGGCTTCATTCTTGCTGCTAGAAAAGTTTGTCGTGCGCACCAACAACGAGCCGCCGAATCGTATGCGTATAGCTGAGGAAGTTTGTTATTAGACTTACGAGATACACAAAAAGTAGATGCTTGACGTTCTTGATTTTAAAAAAAATACTAATAAAGAAATAAAAAAAAACGGGGAGGATGATAACACTAACGAGTTCACAATGCTGGTTGCACTTTGCAAAACGTGCAACACACGCACGCAAAAAACAAACAGAAACAAGAAGATTCGTCTGAAAACGCTGGCCCAAAGCGCAGTCGCTAAACTCTGTCCCGAAATCGTGCAATCAGCCAACATGATATCCAGTGCTATAACGAGCATTGGCAGTACGTGGGTAAATAGATTTAAAATCTCGTAATCATATGGCGTCTCTCGTAATCATATGGTGGTTTTGGGACGTGCAATTGTGTTTTATTTATGTATTATTATTTATTTCGTTATTATAATTTTTTTTATGCGTAGGGTCCTATTTCGTGGTCGCGTTGATCAGGAAACGGTTGAAAACTCTGGCTGCAGTTGTCAGCACAGAAAGAATGACGTGTCCCACTCGCTATACTTCCACGAAATGTCGCTAAACGATGACTATAGTCCTCCGATCGCTATTAATTACACGGATTCGGTGACGTGGCGCCTATGTATGATAAATCGGGTTCCTTTCTCTGCGGCAACTTGTTCCGCTCACCCGAGCACAGACTATCGCGCATAATAGCAGCATTCTCAAGTTGTTCGCAGTTTCTCGAATAACTGTAACTCGGTTACAAATCAAGACGGAAACGCATGCTCCGCCCCCAAAAGCCCCAGAACCTGCGGCGCCCCTAGCAACCATTGTGAAGAGTTGAATTTTTTTAGACGGTTTTCAGAGTAACTATAAATAAGTTTTCGCTGCTAACGCGCGTAGTACGCATATTAACGATTAAAAGTTCTTTGTCCCTACTTGAGTTATTTCGTTTCCCGCCAATAGTGATGTCTGAATCTTTGCCGAAGTTGCGCAGGGAGTTCCAAATTATCGACCGAAAACCAGCGACACTATTACGTGTCTGTAATGATAAACTCACCTACCATGCGCGAGAATTAGGTGACGTCACATGACGTAACGAGCCAATTGCCTTTGGCGGGAGAGCCTACGGTGTCGGGCGTGGCTCATTTTTTAAGTTTTTTTTTTTGGTTGTCATCGAGTATAACGTAAGAAACACCTGGTCCCGCAGCAACGGATCGACCCACGCGATCTGACGCCACGGCAACGTGCCTGTTCCCGGAAGACCTTCGAAGTGCCTTCGCGATGCGTGGGATCGTCTATACTACTTATTCTTTTCTTTCTTCGAGCCGTCAGCTAACGAGGAAAAGAAGCACAACGCTCCTCTTAGGATGAAGACGACGAGAAACTCGAAAACTATAACAAAACGCAAAAAAAAGAAAAAAAGAGAGGAACGCCACCATCAATCAGCACGACAGCGCTTTCTTGTCGATACCCTTAAATCGCCTCAATAGGTACCCCGACCAGATTTCCTTGCAGATTGCCACGAGATCGTAGACTGCGCCAACACAGTTTTTTGTTTATTTGTTCCTTTTTGAAGATAATGTTATGTCTTGCCCCAATCGCATTGCGTAACACTGTACGAAATCTAGGTGCCGACGCATATACTCGAGTTCCCCCGTGAGAAGATGCAGATGGCTTTTTTTTTTTTCATAGTCACGTCATTTTAAATGTATGATCTATGGGGATTTAACGTCCCAAAAACCACCATATGATTACAAGAGACGCCATACGATTACGAGATTTTAAATCTATTTACCCACGTACTGCCAACGCTCGTTATAGCACTGGATATCATGTTGGCGGATTGCCCAAAAAAATCGACTAAATTTGCACGCTACACCATTCAAGCGTTAGTAATTTTGCACAGTATAACAATCGGAGAACACACAACGGATGACGTCACATCGGATGTGCCGTGGGAACGCAAAAAAAAAAGAAGAGAGAGAAGGAGAGAGAGAGGAGGAGGACGCGTACGGCGACAAGAAAAGACATCGCTAGCAAGCAGCCGCGTCTCGGTCCCCCACCGTCGCGTGTTTTCCCCTCCCGCCATCTCGATTCCCACGCCTTCCAAGACGTAGCAACTAGCCCCAACTTCGCGTCCTTTCGCGATAACGTCATATAGTATACGCCGGTCAGCGATGTGGCGCGCGTGCATCTGAAAATGCGTCACGGATCTCGCATGACCTGTCCCTCCCTCCCCGCTCCTCGTCCGGCGCGCGTCAAACATCGTACTAGATCAGACGTTCGTTGCCGTCGCTCCCTCTTTACCGTGGGTGACAAGGCCACGCGTATAAGAAGCAAATCGCGTTAAAACGTTACACAACAACACAGCCATACCAAAAAGCGCGCTATACGCGACGCAAGGGGAAAGGAACAATACCAGCAGCGTGAGTACTACGCGCCGTTTTAAACCCCCCCCCCCCCTTCCCCATCCACGTTCTCTCTGTCAACGCATCGGTGTGTGTGTGATTCACACAACCGAACCAAAACCGTCACTCCCGAGTCGGGCTCGCACCCGCTTTCAAAAGCGGCGCGCACCCCGGTGACGTCACGGCTCCCTCCGTTCGTGACGTCATGGTCGCGAGGCCACGTGTTCTCGCCGCCGCGCGCTGGTGGTGACGCACTGACAGGCGGGCAGGTAGGGCCGCTAACAATGGACAGCGCAGCTGCGGACTACGCGAACCCCGGGCGCGCTAGCTGAGTCACACACACACCCGTCTTCTTCTTCTTCATCCCTACGCACGAACGGGGGATGCCCTTTCGCGGTGACGAGGGGAATGAGCGGGGTGGTGTCAACAGTTGCACTACTGCCGCTCTCGGACTCGCGATGTGCTGGGCCTGGTGTGCGCGCATCGGGCACGATGATGTCAGCGCGAGAGTGCCATGCAGCGCGGATTCCCAGCGATCGGCGGCGACCATCTGCGCATGCGTCATGCACACTCGCCCTCTGTGATCGGGGACGGAGGACACCTCATCCCCAAACGGCTGCTCGCGAGTGAATAATAGGGATGCGTAATAAAGTGCACAAAAGTAAGTAACCCGGCCAACTGCGAATACATTGGAAAGACAAGCGGACTCATGCAGCCCTGGAAGCTGGAGACTGGAGGCCACTGCGCCCCAACACTTGTGAGCTGGGAGTCTACAGTGGTCTCGGACCTCGCGTGCACAAACTTCCTTCTATCTGAAGATTTGCAGCTAGGACGCGTGGCATCTTCGTATCACGACGTCCTTCGCAGAACATACTTGAAAGGGGGACACGCAATGCAGTGGCAAGCGCTGCGTTTGTCTTCTTCGCCTTCGTCGGCATTTGCGCTGTCTGTTGGACCAACAAGCCTTCGTCCGTATTTGCGCTCTTCTCTTCAGACTGTTGGACCAGCGAGCCCAAGTGAAAAAAACTCTTCTCGACTTCCGCTCATGCCGGATGAAGCTCCGGACCTGTCGCGACCGCCGGTATAGACAGACCAAAAGGCTCGACCTCTGCAGTGCTGTCGAGGTATACGCCATTTTACGAGATTATTTTCCTCGACTAATTAGCGCATTCGCACCGTAGCTGCAAGTTTAATTATGCTGCCGCCACCACTACTTAGGTGAATATAGCCGCTTGCATAGTCGCAAATAACGATGAAATCAGTTATGTGCAATCTTGAGTGATAAGTTGTGCTTTACTATACCAGTGGTGGTTTGCCACGCGTGCGACAATACTGCGCCGTCGGGATCGGCATGAAGCTATTTGAGTCCTCGAGAACTGCATTAGCTACCACTCTCTTAATCTCAATAAGATATACAGAGAATGAAAATATTACTTTCGCCTCCGAGTAGTCTTAGGCAAATGAATATATGATCCGTGCGCCTTTAAATTCGCAAGGGAAGGAAAGGTGGTAGAAGCGGAGGCTCAGGGAAGATAAGGATCTGTCACTTCCCATCTTAAAAAAACAACCAATAAGGAAAAGAATCAGCAACTCGCCCAGCAGTCTGTGCTTATCAAAGAAACTAAGGTGCGCGTTCATCACATTACGACAAACAGATTGATTGATGTGTGGGGTTTAACGTCCCAAAAACCACCATATGATTATGAGAGACGCCGTAGTGGAGGGCTCCGGCAATCTCGACCGCCTGGGGTTCTTTAACGTGCACCAAAATCTGAGCACACGGGCCTGCAACATTTCCGCCTGCATCGGAAATGCAGCCGCCGCAGCCGGGATACGAACCCGCGACCTGCGGGTCAGCAGCCGAGTACCTAAGCCACTAGACCACCGCGGCGGGGCGACGAACAGAAAGTACAAAAAAAAAACTTGTTGAGGGGCTAGTTGTAACGTCATGGATGGAATAGACAGCGCTGCAACGTTCACAACGACGTCAGACAAAAGAATTTGCCACGTGAGCGGCGCGCAGAACGTCACCGCGCGTAACGCCTGAGTCGGCCAAAGTTCGGATTGAGCAGTTTACGTCTTCACACGGGTTATCCGAGATTTGCGTTCGCATCACATAAGGCCCTGATAAAGACAGGTTCTGGCATTACACGTGTGCATATCTATGCTGACTGCAGCACTCTACTTAGAGACGCGCACACAGAGCTCAATGGGTGCTATCGTGCACACTATCGAATTCCGCCGCATCGTCAGATTTCGTAATCGCGCGCTATTTTAAGCCAATCAGAGAGGCCGCGGTAAGCCTCTGGGCCAATCGGGCCATGACAATCGGGGGTCTGACCAATGGCAACAACTGACGACCGGACCAGAACGGAACACGTGCAGCAACAGGAGCACAGTATATAAGCGCGCACTATATAACGACGTATCACAGCCGATTCCGGGCACGTACCTAAGAACTGGAAGGCGTCGTCGAAGAACTGCTTCAGGTTCTGGTGACAGCTGTCCGACGCTGGCAGGCGCTTGCAACGTAGTCCCGGACAGTGCTCCTGCTGTACTCCCGCCGTGTTGGCGGGAGTAACGGAGTTGGCGGGAGTAACGGAGTTGGCGGGAGTAACGCCGTTGGTTTGCTGCAGTGCCGGCGTCACGTGGAGCACGTAGCCGACGCCCAGCCTCCGCAGCAGCTCGGCGTCTCGGGCGTCACGCTCGTTGCCCAGCAACAGGAAAGGTAGCACGCACGTCGCGGGCCACTGCGACACGTCGCGCACCGCCTCGGACTCGACGCAAGGTGGCGCGGCGCTGCTCGTGCACTCGTGGGCAAACTGCCGCTGGAACTCCCGAAAGCCACCTGCGAAACACCGCACAATGGGACGCAAACGCTTGTAGTCTCCATCTGCCGGAACAACGCATACAGTCGTGAACAATGTGAAAGCGAACACTGAAACAGCAGTGTGTGGCAGCTTGGGCTAATTGGTACGACATAACGATAGTTATAGCGCGACAACAAAAACGACTACACCTTCGTGTCCGTCTTGTCCCTGCGTCGTCGTTCTGTTCTCGCGCTATAACTATCGTCGCACTGAAACAGCGTTTTAAATGCCGCAGCGGCTAAACGAAGAATGCCAGCGGAGAAGTGTTCGACAGAAGTGCACGTGTGTAGTGTCGATAGCTGGAACAAAAACATGCAATCGTGAACCATATGAACGAGAACAGCGAAATGACATTTTAGAGGCGATTGCGGCAAAACGCACTTGACCAACGAAAAAAAAAGTGTTGGACACAAGCACACGTGTATAATCTACATTTATAAATATAACGTTACGTTTATGCGCGTTAGCACCTTCATGTTTACAGCAACATCCGTACAGTTTTAACGATACCGGACGCAACAAAGGGCGGAAGGCAGCTGGCACGCGGAATCGGTGCGTATTCTGTTTGCGCCTCGGTTCAATGCTTTTGTATTTATGCTTTTGGTTCAATGTATTTTGTGCGTGTGTGTGTGCCGAGGGGGGCGCTGAAGTAAGCCACAACCGTGCTCGAAACACACGTAGCGCCACCTGTAGACCGTAACGCCGGCTGGGCTGTATTGAACAACGAGGGCAACGCATTGCATGAAGCTAAGCGCTCCGATCGGCGCACACGAACAGAATCGGCAACGATTCGCAGGGTGAAAACGGATGTTTGCAGCACCGAATCCACCTGCCGTCGCCGGCGCGCAGTCTTCCATCAGTTACGCCCGCGGCTGAGGTGCGTACCATTCCTGACACAGTCGCACAGCGTAATTACGACGACATCGTTTTCAGCCGTCAGACTCGACGCAATGCGGCGAAATTCGTGTTCCTCGCGTGTCGGATCGACATACAAGAAACATCCCTACTGAAACGTTCCGTATGCGATGTCCAATAATTCCGTATGTTTCCGTAAGTATCTTACGGAAATATATGGAATATATATGGGAAACATATCTATTCTTTATGGAAACATATGGAATTATTGGACTCGCATACGGAACGTTTCAGTAGGGATGAACGACACGGAATTGGGCATTAGTCCAGCTGTACGCGCCAGTGCAAGCGTATCAACCAGCGGCGGTTTTTCAATCACCTTTGCCACCCATGACTATAAACTACAACGCGACACCGGCAAATGGACCTCTAATCCTCGATAGCGACCGTATCGTTGTGGCAACTCACTCGTCTTCTCCATATGCGCTGGGTCGCACGAAAAAAAAAAAAAAAAAGACCGTCGCGTTGCTTCAAGCCCGCGTGCGGGGCCGCGGCCGCAAGTATACAGCGCAAGCTATACGCTGCCGCGGCGTTCGAATCTCGCGCGCGTGTGTGACTAATACGCTCCATTGATCGCCTCCATCAGGGGGACGACGAATGGGCGAGCTAGAAAGGTGGGGGGGGGGGGGGGGTGAGAAGAAGAGCGCCGCGGTGCAGCCGAAACGTCGCTGCCCTGACGTCGTGCCCGTGATTCATCGCAGCGTCATCACGCGAGTACCGCGCGCGTTTGACTCATGACGACTCTGCAGCCGAAGCACACCCCGCATCTTCTTCACCGACGGTTGATCGGGTGCGTCACGTGACCGCGTGCAAACACGTCACCCCCGGGGTGCACCGGCAACACCGCACCGGGTGACCGGTGGTTATGGAGACACGGAGCTTTTAAATCTAATGCCGAGGTGGTGTACTCGTGTTAGTTGTTGCAATCACCGCGCTCTTCGTAACGCGTGTGGTGTAAAGATAACTTTGTTTCGTATCGTGAGCTTGGCGAACAGATGGCCCCATCGGACCGAACCCCGCGAGCATAACTGAGCCGTTAGAAGCCAAGCGGTCACTTAACAGGGCATGGTTTTTGTTAGTTAGTCAAGTTTGGTGCGAAAAATGACGTTATGGATCATGTGATCTTGATTACTTTTTTGGATGCCGCTGGGAAAGCTTCAACTTGGGCTAGTTGATACGACATCCTACAGATCGAGCTAGGCAAGTAGTAAGCCACCATGCAAGTAGTGCACAGTTAGTAGAGGCCGACAGTAGATGAAACAACAGAGGATCGTAACTTTTTCAAAGGGACACTAAAAACAAACAACAATTTACGTTAAAGTGAAAGCGCACGTCAAAAACAATATTATCAGCAGTAGCGCCCTACTTACCGATAAATGAAGGTAAATACACGAGAACACATGCGCTACGCATAGGACATTCGCAAAATGATCCTGATGACGTCAGAGGTACCGCCTACAATCAATCACTAGTAATCGAACTAGCTGCTCTAAATAAAGAACCTTCCGGCCATCAAGAGACGTAATAAAATGTTGCTTGTTCGTTTATGTTTGATTCATGAAAAAAAAAAAGAGCCGACGGACGTTATATGTGGAATGGCGCGAGTGGTTTAAAAGTTCAATTTTCGCCTGGTTGACCTGGACAGGTCGTGCCATCCAGCGGGGCCCAGTTGAACCAAGCACGTCTGCCATCTCGGAGGTCATGGCAAGAAATTGTTCAATGGCTGTTCTTGCTGCTATGGCTCCCGCTGCTTTCATTCTGCTGCTACTAGTGTCGGCGGCCACGCAGTAAAGTCGGGCAACGTTGTGCACTGCAACAGTGACGTGACACGTTCCGCTCGAAACGGGTAGTTTGAAGTGCGCTAACCCGATGCGGACCGCTAAAACGTGATTTTATTTCAAAATAAGCACTTCCTTGGCACAAAGGTAACACTACTAGGTTTCTGGACCGCTGTTTGAACAATTGACTTCGACTTAATTAGTTGCCTTGAGTGTCCCTTTAAAAATAGTCGGACGCGTTGCGATGATTTTGGCAAGTTCACCGACCATATCTGCAGCGACTGACGTCAAGAATTTAAGTTCATCTTTCCAGATGTGCCAATTTGAAGATAACCTCCTTTCTTGTGCCTTTACCTACTACTTTTTGTATCGTAATCGGCCGGCATGGTATCGGGGATAACTTTTGAGCGAATTCATCCGCCCTATGTATCCGAGTACAAGCGTCCGTCACTGCAGGCTTATCGGCCTAGCGATATAGCTAAGGGAGGTGGCTACATTCACAGCCAGAACAGCAACGCCATATCTATTCAATCTCAACGGAACGACTGTGTTGTTAGCCGTACTTTCACTAAACATCGCTAAGCTGGCTAGCGGCACGGCAACTTTAGAAAACAATATAGAGAAGGAAGAAAAAAAAAAGTTGTTACATGTAGTCTATAAGACACAAGCAATACACGCACAATACCGTCAATCGTCCGCGGAGCCCCTTCCCTCGTTGCACAATCTCGCACCTTGCACAACACCACCGATAGGAAGCAAAGAGAGAGAGAGAGAAAACCTGCCGCGGCAAAACAATGGGGTCCCTCGATCCGTTCTTCAACGCCAACGGCCCATTGTCCACGCATCGTGCCCTCTTTGTTATCAGCTGCACACTCTCATCAGCCGGCGCATAATCCCCAACACCCCCTTTTGTTTTGAAATGTCTATAGGCTTTAATTTACGCAACCTCATCAGACACGTAATACTCTAGAAGTGAACACACCCTCAAGCCTGTCACGTTCGCGCGAAAGCGTGACCAATAAAAAAAAAGTCGCCTTTGAAACACTGCAGTGAATGCTAGTGGCCTGTCCAGTGTGGAGTTCTTTTTACTGTTATTATTATTATTGAGTGGCTTGGGACGTACGCTGCTTGCATGTAAGTTGCTCAAGAGGCTTCCAGATCGATTGGCAGAGTCCCTGGCATTGAACAGAACTGGTCTGTTTCAAATGCTCCCCAGTTTCCAACGCAGCCTTTTTCGATTCAACGCCGCTCGCAGGCGCGTAACAATATATACCTCTATTGCTAGTAATGAAGGAAAGAAGTGTACGTCTAGGAGTTTGTTTTTATTTGTTAGACACAATATTAATGAGAACTAGCAAACAATGCTGCCAAGAAAAGTATAGGGGATATTATTGGAAGTAATTGTGATTGATGATTGATTCGTGGAGTTTAACGTCCCAAAACCACCATATGATTATGAGAGACGCCGCAGTGGAGGGCTACGGAAATTTTAACCACCTGGGGTTCTTTAACGTGCACCCAAATCGGAGCACACGGGCCTACAACATTTTCGAATTTAATTGTGAAGAAAGAAAAGTAAAAAAAAATAACCGTGTCACGTGCAGGGACCAGTGTATGCACAAAGCGTGTACACGAATCCCTGCCCACGGGAAGTTATTTTTACAGTAGGCACACTTTTATTTTTACAGTAGGCAGCTTGTGCCCTTCTCTCATGCTCTCTCGTATAAAACCCTGCGATTTAAATGTTCACCGGGTGTATGCTATCGCGCAACTTCACGCCGCGGTACTTCATCGTGCGTGATCCGATACGACACATCAACGACCGAATGACGTGAAAACAGCTGCAACCGGAACGCCTGCTGCGTAGCGAGGAACATGGCGTCGGTGGCGACGTCAGCCGCAGCGCGGCGCCACGTTCCTACTCATCGGTATCGGGAAACAGTGCGAAGCCCCTCTTCGAACCCTTTCTTTTATATGTCGATGTGCTAGGCATTAACACCCAGTGATTAGCGCTGGCCCCCAGTAGTACATTGTCACTGCATATGACAAAGACTCCCCCCCCCCCTCCCACGGCTTTCCTCTCCGGGAAGTCGGGGACGAAAGGCAGGTCGCCATGAGAAATACTCTATCGCATCAGTTTTCTTTTTCATTTGTGCACCGCCCGCTGCGAATCTTGTTTTGTGTAATTAACGGGGGAGGGGGGGTGCCACGGCGGTGAAAGCCCGCGCCTCCGAGCACACATACATGTGGACAACTCCGCGCATGCCTATGATTCCAAACATTTTTTTTTTTTCGCTTATATCAACCGATGATCAGTAGTACCTCCATCCACTTTCCAACTCGTGGAGGGCTTGTAAAGTGACGCACGTCTTCTATAAGCGAGCCTTGTTGGAATAAAACATGGGATCCCCCCCCCCTCCCCCGTTGCTCTTCTTGCGGGTGTGACTCATCACGATAGTTATAGCGCGAGAACAAAACCACGACACAGACAAGAAAGACACGAGCGCTAGCGCTCGTGTCTTTCGTGTCCTTCTTGTCTCTGTGTCGTCGTTTTGTTCTCGGGCTATAACTATCGTCATGCCATACCAACTAGCCCAAGCTGCCACACTTCTGTGTGACTCATCACCGCGACGGGCGCACCACGCAGACTTGCGAGGTGGTTCGGACACGTGATCCAGGCGAGAGCCCTCCGCCGCGGCAACGGTGCCGAGAACCGTGCACGAAAGAAAGAGACCGCAGAACTGCCGCTGGCAGCGGTCCAACATGGCGGGCTGCGACCACGACGGTTTTTCCTGCTTCGTTCGCAAAAAGGAACCCTTCTTCTTCCGAAGCATACGTACGCGCGCGTGTTCTCACGTAGAGCGAGACTACAGTGCGCGCTCGTAACGGCCACCAGGTGTCCGACCCGGCGACGACCATCGACGGGGAAGTCCCGTGACTGTGTACCGTCGTCGCCGGGGCCAAGGGCCTGAGGGGCCGGCTGTGCGTGTGACTCAGCGCCGGCGGCCACATTTGCAGCCGTCCTTGGGAGGCCGCGTCCTTTGAAGGTGAACGGCGGAACCGGACACGCCGTGAAAAGCCGGTTTGCTGCTGCAGCGGCCTCGCTTCTGCTGCTGGCGTCATGTTTTCGCACCTGTTGTGTGTGTGTGCGTCGGTAATGATGGCAGAGTTATTTCTTTGTTTCTTGGAGCTCGCTTCGGCCTTCGTTACGTCGCCGTCCGGCCAGCGCAACACTCACCACTCGCCTACTGTACGCATCCAAATGAGGCCTCAGAGATCGCGCCCTGGCGACCTCGGAGGCCACGCTCCCTGAACACCAACTTTCTGCTGTTGCTGCTGTTCTCTCTTCCTTCCCTACTCTCTCCCAGACGCACACCCTCTCGTGCTTCGGCATCTGTTGTGTGCCGTTCTGGGCCCTCCTTGTATCGACGGTAACATATAATTCGTTCAGCCAAACTGCAGACTCCGCAGATCACGCTCGAACTGTGGCCGCCCTTTGCAGTACAGTGCTGCCCCCTTCTGGTTACGAATGGAGTTACATGTGACTCATAGATAAGTTTTCGAAGAAGTATATTAACGAGCAAGATGCACGAAGAATCGAAGGACAGGGGGCGTCCTGCGCAGAACATTCCTTCTTTTCTATGGAACATTCGAAGACTAACGGGTGCCGCCGCTTGGGCTGTCAAAGACTTTTTTTTCTTTTTGTTGCTTTTGTATCTTGTGAAGTTCGTCGATAAGGTCAGGAAAGGCAGAATTCACCAAACCAACTGTTTTGGTGCAGTACATACGTCCAACGTAGCACTGTTCGTTCAGTTGTGCAAGATACAAAACGGCATGGTGGACAGCTGACTACGGCGGCACCTAAACCCACCCGTAAAATAGGCGATAAGCCAACTGCTGGTAGTGATTGATAGGGCGAAAAAGTAAAAAAAAAACAACGTGACGGAGACACTCACCCTTTAGCACGGCGGGCGTGGCGCCGTTCTGGCAGAGCACGGCGAGCACGAGCGCCAGCGACGAGCTCGGCTGCGGCGACTCCAGGTCTCCCGTGCAGTCGTCGTAGACGACGATGTCCCGCGCCTGTCGCAGCTGGTCGCGGGCCTGCCGGCAGGCGACCAGGTCCCACAGGGCGAGCCGGCCCTGCTGCAGGCGACGCCGCGTGATGCGGTCGCCGCAGTTGACGTTCACCGCCGACCGGATGCGCCCCGCGTTGAAGCTCAGGAACGGCCGGCAGTCGACGAGCAGCAGCCGCCGCCGGCGCTGCCACGAGTCGACCAGCTCGCCGGGCGTCACGAGTCGCACGGCGCTGCACGACGAGCGACGGCGACGCGGCGCCGCTGACGCCGACGGCGAGGTTGAGGGCGAAGACGGCAGCTGCAGTTGCAGACGCGGCCGGGAGTCCAGCGCTAGCGACGCTCCGCACGACATACCTGCGAATGCACGACAGGAACGAAAAAAGGGGTGAATGTCGCGTTATGGTACGGACCTCGCGGCAGAGAGAGAGAGAGAAATGTAATGCGGACAGGCGGGGATGTTGACCGGAATAGAAACACACCCGGTGCGCTACCCTGCCCCCGGGAAAGGGTAAGGGGAGAGAGGTGAGTGGAAACACACACGCACAGACCCAGCGGAACTAACTGTGGTAGCGTACCGCACTGACAGTCTTCGGGCAGCGCCATGCAGACAGACTTCGTGTCTTTCGTGTCCTTCTTGTCTCTGTGTCGTCGTTTTGTTCTCGCGCTATAACTATCGTTATGAAGAGCCTCCGTCTTCCGACGCTGAAGGGCCACAGGAAAAAGTAAACAACAACAACAAAGAATAAAAATAAATAAAACAGCGAAACTTGCAGCGCACCAAGAAGGAAGAACACAGAGGACGAGAGTGGAGACGGGACGAACGGATACTGGTCCAAGCACCGAGAAGGGTTTGCGGTATGTGTTGGTCTGGTCGCGAAAAAAAAAAAAGGTTGGAGGGAAGGGCGAATTCCAGGTAGGCTGGCGAAAGGTCCTCCTTTAGTCACAGCAGCGCGGGCCGGCCCCTTTATGCCGAGCCGGACTGACTCTCGCAATGAGTAAAAAGCGAGCAGCGACATACGGCCCCGCCTTCTGATTCAACATTGTCCCCCTCCCGCTCGGCGACATGCGATGTACTCCACCGGAGCACCCCGCCTTTTGTTAATCCAAGTCGGAATAAAACTTCGAAATTTTGAACAGCTGCTTATCTCACCTTGCATAAATAATTGAGGGACAACTGTAAGCATGCACGAAAAAAAAAAGGGGGGGGGGGGGGAATGGACTCCGTATCTACATGTTTCTCTGCGAAGGACGTCGAAAGACGAAAAATGCGCATGCCAAGAGTGAAGATAGTTATAGCGCGAGAACAAAACGACGACACAGAGACAAGAAGGACACGAAAGACACGAGCGCTCGTTTCTTTCTCGAGTCCTTCTTGTCTCTGTGTCGTCGTTTTGTTCTCGCGCTATAACTATCGTCATGCCATACCAACTAGCCCAAGCTGCCACACTGCCAAGAGTGAAATTTCGTGCAGATGCTTGTATTGCAAAGTATTACTCTTCGCTTAATATAAAAGGGGAGGGGGGGAAGTGTTGACAAAGAATGCGCTGCTTGTACATGTGTAATACTCGGTATGTGGTCACCATGCAAAGAGTTGCCGGTCCCTGCTTTTGAGTTTTTCCGGTAAAGACTATACGGTCCGCAATTGCCCTCTGCCTCACATTAGTGTTCTTTCAACAAAACGCCAGGTGAACGCACGTCGGCTTCCGCTCCGGGATTCCATCCATTTGCGAAAAGAAAAACTGGCTTTCCGAGCATGGACTTCGAGGAACATGACGCGTCGCGTCCACCAATCGCCACAAGACGACGTCTGAGCGCGTCGCAGCGGTATAACGTGGTCGTCGGGGCGACGCATTCCTGGGGCACTTACATCAGGCGCTCACAATTAGCGCTATGCCGCTAGCTACGGGAAGAGGGGGTTGGGCGACTGGCTCTCTTACTTCGGCCGTGCGGTGGCTGCGACATGGGACACCTGGTGGCGGACCTTGGAGTCAGGCCAGGGATTTCGCGCGGCGGCGGGCTTGCTGAGTCAGCGGACTCCCGAAACGGCATCGTTCCCCGGACCAGAGCGGCGGCGGCCGCGGAGCCGAGCGCGGTGGGGGGAAACGATTCAGGTGAAGGCAGGCGCGTCCTGCCGCCGTCTCTTTGCCCCTCTAAAAGACGTCGCGACCGCGTCAAAGACGTCAGCAACCAAAGAGAGGAACGGGCCGGGGCGGAAGCGGAGTGGCTTCCCATGCGCACCCGTGGGAAAGCAAGAGAAAGTGGCCGGAAGGACACGCCGGGGCCACTTCCGGTGCGGAGGAAACAACTAACCTCGCTTTCAATTTCTGACGCTCATCCGACTCCGCGGACCGCGAGCATTTCGTGTTTGGGCGCAATGGCAATCGGAAATGCTCGCGACAGGCTCTCTCTCTCGGAACAAAACAAACACTCCGAAAAGTTGAGTAAAAGTAGAATGGAGGAGGAAGTGGAAATGCTCGTGAAATGCTCTCTCGTAACCAACAAAGAAGTTGAGTAGATGAAGAACGGAAGAAGCCACCGCCTAAGCACTGTTTGCACATGGCTAACCAGCGAATCTGAAGCGCGTGGCCCCGGTACTTGAGACGAGTCCCAGATCTATCGAAGAGCATTCTGATGCAGCTTTTCACTTCTCTATCGCCACATTTAACAGACGCGTGCTTCAAACTTTGGCGTTTAGTGACGTTAGTGCGAAGGTTAATAAGAACGCCTATACACGATTTCATGGGTGCAGATTCACTCCGCTGAGGGGTATCGTGTTTAACTATATATATCTGCTGGTAAAACCGGAAGACAAAAACTACAGTGCCAGCACAGAAAGCCTTGGAGACGTACCGTATGCTAACCTTTAACTTTCACTGCGATTTCAGCGCGTACAGACCGTCACGATTTTCTTACCTCCTATAGTCTGCACAGTCTTCTGCAAAATAGAGACACGAAACGAATTGAACGAGCGTTGCGAGCTATATACGATCGGATTGGTCAACGGTTCGACACCAGGCAGCGTACTGTATCGTCCCTCCACGCGTCTCTGTCTGAGTCATCCGTTTATTTCCCGTAGCAAAGTGACTTGCAAATGTACTGCCGAAAATTTAATGTACCCCCCACCTATGTTCGCGAGCAACCGGATCTCGGAAAAAAAAAAAGCTATTGCTAAAGCTCCCGCGGAACGCTTTCCGTGTTCACCGCTATAAATATCGTGCGAGAAAAGCGAAGCAGCAGAAGAGAACTTGGCAAGCTTCTCAACACAACGTTTCCTCTACTGTATCTTTTTTTTTTTTGGCGGGGGGGGGGGGGGGGGGTGTAACGCGGGTCACCGGACACGACTTCTGCCAGATCACAAGCGTCATGATTGCTTTGTTAGAAGCTGACGATTGTTTCGCTTGCGTTCTAAACTTCTCGCGAGAAACTCTTAAGAGGGTGAGAAAGCAACACGCGCCCATGGCACGGTCATCGAAAACCTTGCCTACTTGTTCATCAGAAATGACAAACGCGCCATCCGGTCATTTCGTCCCTCCTTTGATTCCCAATCATAAACCTTCCTCCCTTCCTAAAGGTCGGACTGTACCCCTTGACGTGGCCATTGTAAGTCCGACGTTCGTACCCCTCGATGTGGCCATTGTCAGCCTCCCATACCTCACGGCCTTTCTGCTTTGTGTACACGTGTAGACAAATTCCACCGGACTTAGTACGTCACGAAAACGCGGTGGCGCTCTCTTGGTAGGCGAAAGACGCTCTGCCTACCGCAGTTTCTGCTGGGTTTTCAATGGTGCATGTGGTGTTCTCCTCAGTCAAGCAACGAGAAAAAGAAAAAAAAAAAAAAAACGATATGCCTACGAACTGCGTCGCGGTTGGATGTGAGTCGCGTCTCACAACTTAGTTTTGTTTGTTGGCGCACATCGCAGTCCTCAGCGCTTACGTGCGGACGTCGCTATAACATTACCCATAATGTCGTCGTCGGCCAGCCTGTGTTTACAAACACGAAATGGGTCTACATATTCTTCGAGCATATATAATCGTATAGTAATAACAATAAACGCTACAGTTGGGAATCGGCCGCATCTCTATTGTTGAAAATTGTTTTGCGTCTTCGTTTCGAGCTACGATCACGCGATTACTTACCAAGCCCAGCAGGCGCCATCTCACTAAAGCTTTCACACGGCCCCCCTTCTTACTTCATTGTATAACAACCGCGATCCCCCCGCCGCCTCAGGTGTCTTGCGACAGCGGACAAACGGCAACAACGCGCTCGCCGGGAAACGCTCGCCAGCGTAACCCAAACGCCGTACACTGGCTCGTGGGAAACTGTGTACACGCAGACACACAAGCTGTCACAGTCCTGCTCTGGCGCGGGCTGCATAAGTTCGAGAGAGAAAGGAGGCGCGTCACAGTTACAAGTCACCGACACCCGAGGGGTCGGTGACTGACCGCTCGTCCGGCACGAATTCGAGAAGGCATTACACCACCTTTCATCCGAGAGGTCGACGACGGCTTAGCGGTGCGTTAGACGCGTTCGATATACAGCGGCGGCTTCTCCCGCTTGGGACTCCCTCGTGTGGCATCATTGAATAATAATAAATACACTTTAACCCCACGTATGCAGTGGTGCGATTTCCGTGCATTGCGTAGAAACCGGTGGCGGGCGCCTCGACCAATCGCGAGGGCGCACTTTGCGGGCTTCTCGGTACGACGCGAATGTTGTACAGGACATAAACAATGTGAAAGGGAACGCCGAGTTACGGTGTTTGCGAAATGCGTAATCGTGATTGGGCGGGATATAAATCTGACGTGCCGAATTTGCGGGATGTGTCTCTCTGCGTGAACATTCGGTGTTGTGAACAGTTAATTCTAAAGGGACACAGATACTCAAATAGATATGTGAGATGATCCTCCTTGAACTTTCTTGTCATGAACTCGTCTCACATTTTCGCAAGGGATCGCTTCGCGACTGCGTTTAGCAACTACGGCTTGTCCAATGTAATTTCCGTGTTGCCTTTTATATTGTTAAAGACTGTACGCCTTGGGTATTTGAACGTTCGCCTCACGCTCTCTGTCTCAAGCTGAATGCTGTGTTCCTCGAACGTAGTCATAGTCACAATTTAAGAAAAAAAAAAAAAGATGAAAGGCTCACCCTACAGTACTGTGGCACGCCTTCACCTGCGAAGACAGCTAGCGGCGCTAGCTGGTTTCCGCTCGAACCATAAGTACACTTTCTCGGTTAATGTACATACTACGCGTATTGAGAGCTAAAGGTTTGTCGTTTCTACTTAAAACGTAATGTTCGGTTAAACAGCGATTCCAGGATCCCCGAAAAAAAATTCACCGGGACATTTCAGACT